GCTCTATGTCATGGCCACATGTGGAGGCTTGTTGCAATCAATGCCAGGAATGTGTTGCCTTGGTATGGCAGGAATGCATGGAAGCCATCGGCTGAAATGTAAATGCCTTTTTACTTTCTCTTTGCAGAATGTCTTTTTTAATCCTAGCCCCTGCGGAATGCTGCTGGTGCTCAAATGTCTTCCCTGTTTCCATGGTAGCCGATCCCCTACTTTCGTGACTTTCTCATCAGTGGCCTAAACAAAATCCAGAACTGTCACAATTAACATGGAAGGCAGTATACAGTCTTTTTGAAGACTGGGTGGAATTATATGATAAAAGTACTTTGTGGCTAAAAATGGCTAAGTAATTAAGCACCATTATTTTAAACTATGACATTTCAGAGATATTCTGTGGGACATGTCCTGAATACAGTAAAATTGCAATGTTAAGTACAGCTAACGACACTGTTCTGCAAGTACAGAACATAATGGTTTAATTAACCCAGAGTTAATGCAGCCCAATTTCTAACGAACTTCCTCCCCTCCCCCCATCCTTCTAGCTCCAGCATTTCACCTGTGTGCCTCTGGAACCAGACCTGGGGTTGGATTCTGACAGAGACCCCACACAGAGAGCCTTTAGCTCTAATGGCTGATCCAACATCCAGCCCTAAATGCTTTCAACCTACAGCAGAGTTGTAGGCAAGATTCATAGGCTGCAGTTCCTGGAGAAATGCCTGATTTCTTCCCACTTTCCCACCTCCCTTCCCCACACACATCTTTGAGTGGAATGCTGAAAAATGTTTCAGCTTAGGTCATTAAGCTTAGAGCGAGGACATCAAATGTAGGCAGCCGTTCTCAACACTCCTGGTCAAGATTTGTTACTTGTGCTCTAACACCGTGCCTTTACCAAGATGCTTTTCAGTGAACTGTGCCAGTTACAAATTCAAGAAAGGTAAGTCTCTTCTTTCACGTTCAAGGACTCACCTCAAAGGAATTCAGGATTACCACACAAATTATTGCTGTGAGAGTTAATACCTGGAATTGTACTCTTCGACTTATCTCCATTGGTTTTTTTTCTAATTCAGGTAAATCAGCATAAAAAAGCAAGAGTTCAAAAGCTATACCTTAATGCCTGCAATTTCTTCTCTGTCATCTATTCTTCCCTAATTAATTAATCCCAAAGCCACAGAAGAAAATAAAACCTAGCCTTTGTCTAGGTATGCATGCCTCCGCTTCCATAAAGCTTCCTGATGAGCAAGTAGGACATAGAGGGAAACATATGAAAGCTGAAGCAATTGAGCAAAAATGATTTTCCAACACAAGATGCATTTTATTCCATCTAAAAATCCACAAGTTTGTGTACCAAATTCAGTAGTCACCATACCGCACAGTCACAGTAAACCACAGCCCTCAAAAGGACTCCTCAGTGTTCTTGGTTGCACTTCATCTTCCAGCTGTATGTACAGTCCTTTTCCCAATCCTACTGTGGACATTTGTGGTGGAGTTCACAACCTGGGCGACAGCAGATTTTTTCCCTCGCTGATGACACCATTTGTTTCAATGAATTATGAAGAGCCCTCATAAATCTCTGTGCATGATTTTCAGTCATTTTCTCTTCAACTCATTAAGTACTGTGGCTCAATCACTGTCCTGATACTGGAGACAGTGAGTGTAGCTTTGCAATTAGAATACAGTCACATAAACTAGCACCAGTACTCTGCAGAAAAATGGACCAAATTGGATTTGTGTCATGACATGTAATTCAGTGTAGGACAAGCTGCAACAGAAATACCTTCCATAGCCATACTGAGTTAAACTGGAACAAGTGTTCTCAACAGGAAAACCGTAAGTTATTGGAGTGAGTGGCAAATAGATTTCTGTGGGGAACAGGAGAATGAGCTGAATTTGCCAGATAGAAGGGTGTGGGGGCAGTGAAGGATAAAAGGCAATTAAAAGGTAGAGGCAGCACAGAAAAATTACAACAAAAGCTGCCTGAAAGGTTGATTAAGGAAATACTTATTTTTCCATCATTGAGAAATCACTTCAAAACCTTCCTCTTGGAGAAATGGCACTGAATATACAGCCAGGTTGCACCTACACCCCCCAGATAACCCATCCCAAGTGATGATGAAAAACATTACCTGAAACAAACACATACTGACATGATGAAATTTAGACGATTGGATTAAAAAAAAAAAAACAACAATTTAACAAAATGAAGTAACATAAGATATTTTTAAAATTGTTTTGCATGCTTCATATTTGCCATCATTTTCATGGGGCTGAGGGGTATACTCAACTGTTCCAGTGATGGCCACATTATAAACTATTTAGACACAGAATCATAGAATCATAGAATGGCTCAGGTTGGAATAGACATTGAAGATCATTGAATCTAACCACAACCTAGCCATACCACCCTAACTCTAACAATCCTCTGCTAAATCATGTCCCTGAGCACCACATCCAAACAGTTTTCAAACACATCCAGGGATGGTGACTCAGCCACCTCCCTGGGGAGCTCATTCCAGTGCTTTCAACCCTGTTTTTCCTGATATCCAACATAAACCTCTCCTGCTGCAACTTGAGGCCATTTCCCCTCATCCCATCACCTGTCACCAGTGAGAAGAGACCAACCCTGCACTCGCTGCAATCACCTTTCAACATGGCACGGTTTTACTTTTTCCTCCTAAAAAGCCTTTGACATTATAGACAGTTTTCCTTAAAGATGCTTTGTATGGAAACTAAATTACGTCCTACAAAGATGGGAGGCGTAATGTCTCTTAATGAGGAGATTCTTTATTCAGGAGAAAAAAACCTGAGATGGATTCCGTGGATGGCTCAGTTACAGCACTTGGCATATGCAGCTTCATGCTCAGACTTAGCCCATTTCTATTTTTTCCTTTTTCTGTGAATATTAAATGAGAGAATGAGAAGACTACTTCATTTGAAAGGCTTATTTAATTTCCACTCTTCATTTGCTTTGTTTGCTGAATTACATTTCCATAAGAGAACAGTACATACAATGGGCTCCCCTTCCTAAGTGGCTCAAATGAGCTGTAAGTAAAGCCATTCAGATATAATTCACGACCGTGTTTTATTAATAACAACTAGTTAAGAATGTTACTGTATCTCAGTAAGCAGTTTTTGCAGGCCTTTATCTTTGCATACGGAGTGCTGTCAGTATCCTTTAATCTAGCATAACTGTATCTTCAGAGAGGTTTGTATGGCTGCATAATGTAATTAAAAGTTAAGTAAATATTTCAAAACTTTTTATCAGATGCTTGTGAAGAGGTGTTTACCCCTTTCTAAGTCAGCACTCAGCTGCATTAATTATTCCAACATGCAGCTATGCATGGAGAAAGCACTTTGTTGATAAAAAAATCCTTCACATTGAAGTAGAGTAAAGCAAATCTTGCTGCTTTAAATTGTGTGCCCATGTTTGTTTTTTTTTCTTAGACATAGGAAGTGCTTCTCCACTTCAACTGACAACCAATGTAAGCCACCAGTATAAATATTTCAGAGAAGAACTATTTGTTTTCTGACAAATCATAGAACAAAAATGTACTTCTACGTCCATGTTGATTTTTAAGAATTATCAACATTTATGGGCAGGGAAAGATGAGATTTCTCAGTTGGCTGTGAAAACATCTTTTCTTCTATTTTCAGGCAAATCTTTTGCTTGTTGCTTTTAAGACGCCTGCATGTATTATCATATTCATATTCATTGAAGAAGTACTTCAAGTTGCATTTTTGATCACGTAAAGGTATTGCGTGGATCTCAAAATGTCAGCAATCATTGTGGAAAGGCAGCTCAGTGATGTCTGCTTAAGATTCTAAAGAACATACATTTCTCTATCTGAAGTGCAGGGAGTGGGTTCTCATGTAGAAAATAGAAGTTCTTAAAATTAAACTTCACGGTGATCAAATTTAAAAAAATAAGACAATTGACAATTACATCGACTGCTCCAAAAGTAATTCCTCGTATTTATTTCCATGAAAATTACAACAGATACAAAGATAACGACACCAAAATAATGACACCACTTGATAGAGGAAATTCTTAGCTACAAAACACTACTTTATATCTCGAGATCTACCATTAGCTACACATTTTTCACCAGTGATGAACAAGAGCCTGTATGCCACGCACGTAAAATCCCGCACCAGTGGAGGTGACCCACTGCCACCGCCACCACTGCTGAGAGGCACCACTCACTGCCTCACTGTGCTCACATCCCCTGCATAGGGGAATTCAGCGACACACCTTTGCTTCGTATGCACTTCCATGTCAGAAACCATTTTGTCAGACTGCTCCTCTCTAATGGCATGCTGGCGGGAAGGTTCAACCCCTACTGCCTTACCACCAGTATCTGCCTCTGACAGCATGCGCCAACGTAAGAGAACAGGAGGCATTACTTTTGGAGCAGCCCTCCTACTTCAAATATTACTACAAATATGTTTTCAGTGAACAGGAACACTTACTCTCCTTTATAATTAGAATGTAAATAGAGTTGGCCAGTGATCCGAACAGGAACCAGAAAATAAAATTCTGCGTTCATGAACTAATTCATCAGATGTGGTGCTCTTAAGGCAACTGTACTGGTGAATTTTCTCTGTGTAAAATATTGGTTTGTAATACTTCACTTTAACCGTGAACCAGTGAAGACCTTGAGAAGGAGAGAAATCTAAATAAGGCATTTGCTTACGAGGACAGCTCCTAATGGATCAGTCACTGATTAAATCAAGATCAACTAAACCATCTCTGCAGAGGCAGTATAATTTAAGATACGACATTTCAGAGATCCAAAATTGTGTATCAGACCATAAAAAAAAGACACATAAGGAAACTTGTCTTTTTTTTTTTTTTTAATGTATGTTTTAAATAACTTACAATAATTTCAAATGGGTCGAGACTTATATTCCTGGCTCATTTCTTTTTTATTTAGTTTGCTTGAAAATTCATTTCTGGAGAGTGACAAAAGCAATTTGTAAACAGGAAGAACCAGTCTGAAACTCTATTAATAACCAACTTATTTTTATTAGAGCAAATACAGTTGTGAAAACTGTACATTATACATTTTGGGTCAAGAATTATAAATAAACTCATAGATAAAGAGTTCATTCTTTGACAGCAAGAAACTTTAAATAGACAAAATGACATTATTAAGTACATTGGCAGGCTTCATTGTGCTGTCCAAAATGTAGTGTACAGTATAACAACCAATTATAAATAGCCTTTCATGTAAAATACAGCTGTGCACATTTTAGAAAAATACCAACAATTTGTTTGAGCTTTGATTTAAAAAAGCTTATAAATCATACATATTTATAAATGGTACTAACATGCTTACTTAAATTTATAAACATTTTCATAAGCTTTGTTACCCATTATTTCCAGAGCATAAAGTATTTTAAATAAACATTTAATAGGAATTAAATATGTCAGTTACAAAATTACCTCTCCACGTAAGGAGACGGGGGGGGTGATTTCACTGTTGGATGGAACATTTTGTCCATTACGTCAAGGCTTACACAGTAACTTTTAAAACTTTGTTCTTATTTAAAAATCACCTTCCTAAATTTAAAACACAATTTTGACTCTTTAAAAAATAAATATACAAGTTTTATTTTCATTTGCTCTCTTTCTGCTTTCTTCTTTATCCACACTGGTGAAAACACAGGATTCTCAACATACTTCTGTAAAAAACACCACGGTGTTACTGCACTGCTTGGAGCTGCTTCGCTGCACTCTACTCAGTCCGCACCTACGGTACTTTAATATGCTGCATCAAAAGATAGCTAATGTACTTTTAAGAATGTCGCCCGTTACACCATGCAAACACTTATAAAGTTTACAAACAGGTTCAAAAACTATACTGTATGAAATACCGTCTAACAGAGATAAAATAAACTGTAATACAAGCCCTTTGCTTTTTGCAGCTTCAAATTAAAATGCTTCCTTTCCAAATGATCACACCACATATTTTCAGCAAATAAGCATGCTTTTGGTTAATATAGGGTACAATAATTACAGTATAATGGCACATAAAAGAAACATGATCACATCATTGTAACAAAGGGCTGTGAAGCTACTTAAGACAAACTTTCCAAACAAAATATTTTGAGGATTTTTTAATGCTGAGGTAAAATTATAAAAGGACTTCAAAGACACTGAAGGCATCAAATCGATAAACGATCACTTAACATGTCTAAATGCTCTACCTGAATGTATTCAACACGGAACTAGTGTTCAAAAGTCACAATAGTTTATTATGAGCATTAGCTAGCTTAACTGTCACTGGCATTAATGAGCACTCAGACAAGACTTTATTTTAAATGCTGGCAAAACACCTCAGTGCTGAAACATAATTCAAATCACTAATTATCACAGCACCAGAATTAAAAAAAAAAAAAAAAAAAAAAAAAATTAAAAAAAAATCAACATGCAAACTCCGCATCTTATCTTCCTTGCATTATTCTGGTATTTCATCTCCAGCTCAGGATGTGCTGATATCGACTTCAGATTCTTATTTTTTTTAATTAAAAATAATTTTGCTTGCTACTGGTGTAAGCATTTGAGCACTTTTAGGAAGATATCAATTTTTGCAGTTACGGTATATCGCTTCCTAAACCTTAAAGTGAATAGACTCTTCAGATTTAGGAAAATGAATTTAAGAATTACATCTTCAGATTAGAGTAAGGTTTTATCTTCTGTTTCTGCCACTAGGCAGAACCGGTAGCGCTCCCCAGGTTGGACTACACACTACATTATGGCTATACATCAGATTTCATAAACAACAAATGAACAGAATCATGCACAGGCAAATGAAATTCAATCTCCCAGAACACTGTGGGAGATGTTAAAAGCAGCAGGTAATGGAATAAGACTGGTGACTGATGCTGCTAACTATTTCTTCTAATGAGATAGGAGTGAACGCTGGAATCACTTCCACAGCAACAGAATCCACTGACCACATTCCTCTGGCAGTCGTTTTCCCATCTCCCCACTAAAAACATCAGACGGTAAAATAGTAAGGCAGCTGTTAGCTTCCATCAACAGAAAGTGCAGCTCCGTACATTTCCAGTTTAGTCACACTCTGCTGGAACAGATGGAGAAGCCAACGCACTTCACTGGTGGGGCTGCTTCAGCAGATTATTTTGTTTACTTTCCGACATGGCTGCTTGCTTCAGCTTTCACAGGACCCCAAAGCCACAAACCATCAGCAGACAAACTGATCTGGGCCCCTGGCTGAATTTTCCAAGTTTCATCTCTCTTGCGTCCCATCATCCTAACGCCAAGCCTCCTTCCCTGTGTCTGAGTATGTCTGGTGCCATTTAAAAGGCTGATGACACAACTGCAGAGAACTGTGGGCTAACACCACTAGTTGTCATGACTTCACTGAAGGGTCAAAACAGTTACATAATTAAATAACTATGTTGAATCACATTCAGGCACAGCTAAAATTAAAGTAGGAAACATTAAAAGTATGCAAATAAATTCAATCTTTATAATTTGAGGGGGGGTGGATGTGGTGATTGTATATGAAAACAAGACCTTGCTTACCTTTCCTAATTCCAATCAAGTTAGAAAATGGACAAAAAGAATGGCTAGACCAATATTCAACAGCATTACCAGGGCAATCATGACTGAGTTAGGGCCCTGAAAATAAACAAAGATAATGAAATTAATCATAGAACCATAGAATCATTAAGGCTGGAAAAAAAAAACACAAAGATCATCTAGTGCAACTATCAACCTATCACCACAATGTCCACTAAACCACATCTCCAAAAATGCAATCTTTCACATAGTGCACAGCAACAACAGGATCTGACTTTGCTCTGAAATACTATCTAAATATCAAAAGCACAGACTCTGCTTGTGAAACGTAGCCTTGGTTAAACTCTTCTTTTCTAGTGACCTAAATATCATCTGTATGAAAATGAACTAGATAAATAAAGGTAAGTATATTATTACACTGCTCTTAATCATACTGAGAATAGCTGTCTGACAAATATGACTGTGCAAATGTAAACAAAGCCATAAAAACAAGAATGGCACCAGCTTAAAATAAAAGAGAATAAAGAAGTCAAACTTGAAGCCAGAGCACTGTTCCTTGTCCATACAGTGGGTTCCTTCTCTGACGCCAACCCATTACAAGACAGAAGCAGGGTCTTGCATAGCGATGTGTCATAAGAAAAGAACAACTTTTTTGATAACCAAAAGAAAAAAAAATACTATTGCCACTCCAATAAAATCCCTAGCAATATATCCATTACAGACGAAAAAAAAAAAAAAAAAAAAAAAAAAAAGACAAGAAAAAAAAATTCAATCTGCAATACTAAAAACTTGTTTTGATCCACTTTGAAACTTGGTTGAAAAGCCTTATCTTATAGAAGTATTTAGCGAACATGGATGCTTTCTGATAAACAACTTGAAATAATGTATTCAACAGATGGATTTCCTAAATTTTTCCATTCTTCTGTCAATGTATTTGGTTTACTACAACATATTTTCACATACATTTGTACGTGCTAAGGTATGTATTTAGTGCAAGTAGAAACAGAAAATCCCTTTACTCAAACAATAATTTCCTAGATCACAAAAAGCCCATCAAAAATTCTCTGCAGAAATTTGAACTACTTAAGGATTACTGGCTACTAAGAAACCATTAGAGTGAATTAATTTTATTAGAAATTAGATTTTTTTTTTTACTTTTCACAAGAGGCATGCCTTGTAGAAGTTCATTATGCTTTATGGCAATGGCAACAATACCTATGCAGTTTCTGGAATAAGAAGTTAAAATAAATTTCTATTAAAATTTTGCTAGGAAAACTAGCAAACTAGGAAGCTGCTGAACATCATTAGTGCCACTATTATATCGCATACTCTATCCTGAAACACTCACTTAAACATCTGCCAGAACACACATTTACACAGTAGGTATGATAAACGGCAGGATGTGGACTGCTAAGTTCTTGAGTAAGTCACAAAATATGGTTTAAGCGCTGCTTAAATCTTGCGGAAGACTCACTCTAATTAGCAGTTCTATCCCTACAGGTCATGAGGTTCCCCTTGCACCTCTTCAGAGACATGCCAAGGAAATAGGCACTGAAGTTCGACCAGTGCCTGTGACCATTAGGATAGGATGCTCCTTAAATTTTGCTGTGGGGTAATGGTATTAGTAACAACATTAGCCTTTTGCCTAGTGGCAGAATGTCAAAAACATTCACTAGGAAACTAAAGACTAGGGTTTAGGGTTACCTTAGCCAAAGGGATTTTGAATACCAAGTGCCCACTTACCAGCGGTATGTTTTAACCACTGGGTCACAGAACCAAAGTGGAACCACGTTCCCTACTTCCTACTGGAAGTGAGCCACCATGCACCAAAGAATATGAGAAGCTTGGTGATGGAGAACAAGCATAAAAAATGAGAGTGCAACTCCAGGTATGGCCACATTTCTAATAAGAGGACTGTAAGCCGCCTAACTGTGTTCATGTGCAACTTGAGCTTCATTTCTTCTTTCTCTTTCTAGCACTGTCACAGCTGTGCTAACTGTGGATCTTCTGTGCTTTCCTGCTGCAAAGGAAATTCAAGTTCCCACCAATTCTTTCAGAACTGATGACTCTCACCAACTACATTTGGAAGAAAGTCGCATTGGGATAATTTAAACAACAAAACTTGCTTTACTTGAATTAATAGCCCATTTAAAAATCTCTCAGTTTGGCAGTCCTGAGTATTAATGTCAATACCCTCAGTGTGAGTGACTTTTTCTTTCGAAAATGAAAGTTTTTTTTGAAAAAAATCCCAGAAACTCATATGACAAACAAGAGTAATACATACATGTTAATGTTACATCTCTGTCCACAAGGAGTGTGATTACACTACTCATTTGTGCTCAGATTTGAATTCAGCATCTGCAGGGACTCAGTTTGATCAAAGTCAGGACAATAGATTCTTTATAGTTCAACCTCCAACCTAAAACTGCACAGAAATTGTGAGGAACAGTGAAGTAGATCAACGACTTATGCCATTAAAATTCACTGGGATTTGGGTGTCTGATACTTTGCATGTTTTAAAATAAAATCCATCAAAATCAAGTTGCTTTATTCCTACTGAAGACCTACCAGGAGTTCAAGGAGCCAGGAACTTACTTATTACCTAAAATATGTCCTGAGACAGCATTCTACAGCATAGCGACAAGACAGTTTTCGATGGAAGGATAAGTTGGGACTGCAGCTCAAAGAGCAACGCAGCATCATTAATCTTAAGAAAGGTTGGTGGAGGAAGAAGGGATTTCTTTATGAATGCATCTCTCATGCATTTACATGGGTTTAATTATCTCACCACAGTAATACTGGATAAATTTGGCCAAAAAAACCCCTGGAGACTATGGTCTGAATCAAGAAATCTCATATACAAAGACAGAATAAAGCAGTACTTTAAGAACTTGGTTGTTAATTTTATATGAAGATGAAAAATAAAAAAGTGTAATATCTTTATGATAATAATCTATTGAGCCTATGCTTTACAGAAGTAAATCTCATCTCCTTTAGCCTGCTCTGTGTATTTCCTTGTCTAATAACTAAGACTTTGAGTGAAAAGCAGTTTCCTGTTAAACTAAAAAATGATCAAACAATATTTGTACAACCCAGGATTATCATGCAATTAGCTACTACCTGCTCTTTAGACACCTACAAAATAAACATTTAATGCTTCACAGCAAATCCCATAAATAAGACTTCAGTGTCCTGCAAAGGCTTAAAATAGCAAAAGCCAAAATTAGTCTGAGGAGTCCAAGAGCGACTAGAACAGGTGCAATAAAGAAGCTATAGCAGAAAACCTTCAGTCCTGCTTAAAAACTGCCCCTCCATGTTCTAATACGTCAGCCACTTATGCAGTTAAAAATACAGCCATACGATTAGGTTTCATTATGCGTAGGGAAGAAAGTTATTTTCCTAAAACAGAGAGCCAGGAAGTGTTAAGACTGCTCCTGTAATCCCATTGCATTATGAATGTCTATTATATTTAGCATAAAGTTCTTCCTCAGAGTTTTTTTAGCATCAGGCAAATAGAGGTCTACTTTCCTAACATCACGGTAGTTATATTCCTTAATAACTGCATGTTAAGTGAACAAAGAGATGGAAGTAGAAACACACTGGGTAGTGTTCAGGCAAATGTAATGATAAAGGTAAAAACCAGGCTAAAAGATCTGTGCAGCTTAAAAATCTTGATCTACGATACAAAAAACTGGGAATATCATACACAGAACATTGGTACCTGTGCTTGTACCTGACCTAAGGCAACATGGGACATGTCAGACAAATCAGATGTGTGTACATAAGCAGACATTACAATGACATTTTTTACAACTCAGTCCTATTTGTTATCCAAATCCAAGACTGTCTCAAACTACCTCACATTCAAGGTGAGATAGGAGCATGCAAGTTGGTACTGGGGCTAGAGGCTGCTAACAAACAATTAGAAATAACAGTATTGGTTTGCCATTAAGTCCTGATGAAGTCTCTATAGCATATTCTTTACATAGTATAACTAGAGGGCTCCTAAGACTTGGTAAAAAATGGATGATTTACCTCCCATTCACTAGTCTATTTCTTAAAATCTATCAATTACTTTGGAACAGCTGATGAATGGTGACGTTGGTTCATGTTTCTATCCTTGTTTTTTACCTTGATAAAATTGTGACAGAGTCCTATTGCCCTTTCACAGAAGCTCTGGAATGATTCTAAACTTCGATTTTTGAATAGTAGAAAATAAGAATATAAAGATATACATTTGATGTATTTCAAGTGTTTTGCAGGTATAAGTATTTTTCAAGTATAATGTCAGAAATAGGGATACCTACAGAATCAGTACTATACCTGACTGCACAAATGATTTTCAATAACATTCTTAAAGATGTAACATTCACAGAAAATATAATCTACAAATTTTATTAACGACTGCCACAGACTTTGCTGTAAATAACATTCTTAATCCAAATCAATGCAAATGGATGTCTTAAAGGTCTGTGTTTCATTCAGATGTGAGAAAAAACCTTGATTTAAATACGTGGATAGAAGAACTAAAAATTTTAAGTCCTATATCCATGTTCTTAATGCACTCTCACGGGAAACCTGGAAAAAGAACAGCACAACTTCATACAGCACTTTCAGACAGTCTAATAGAAATGCTCGTTTAAATGTTATATATTAAATTTTGTGTATCCAAGTCATGCTTTCTCACTCTTTTCATAAGAATCAGAGTTTGTTTCTGTTTTCTATGGTCTAACAAATGTATTCTTAAACTTTAATTGAAGATCTAATGCAGGTGCGTGCTTTCAAATCACAACAATTTGTCAGAATGAATATAAAGCAATGCAATTACTGAATAAAACAAAATAATTCTCTAATGCAGCAGTAGAATTCTAAAGTATCTTAATGTTCAGAACTGTCTGAAGAGAAGTACTCTAATCAGTTATTTTTTCCAGCAACTTTTCACTTCTAGGAAATGTATTCTACAGAGTCAAATGTATAGACACAGATGGAAAATATCATTGAAAAACATATTTTAAAATGTTATATTAAAAACTATCTCCTAAACTTGACATTCCCTTCTTACTGACATGCTGATAATAAGAGTAATGCAATTACTGTGCTCCAAATGAAGCAGAGGGCTGTAGTAGCAGTAAACAGTAGTTAACGTGCTACACCTGATTGCTCCTCTGTCTTTCCTGATAACAAGCTCTAAGTTCACAGTCCTCATCCTGATTATTCTAGAAGGTCAATAAACAGCTGTTCAGGTGTGCTGCTTCGTTTCTTGATGTGAAAACTCCCTCAGCTCCAAACCATGATTTGGTCAGGATGCAACATAAGAAAAATAAGGACTACTTCTAACCCCTTATTTTCACCAGAGCTGAAGAAAATGTTCCAATTCAGGCTGAAATTCTGTGTGCTCACTAAACATTTATGAGCCTGACAGCTTTGTATTGCCCTAGATAGGAGTCATATCTGTGAGATTTGAAAGGTTAAAGGGCTGATATGAGCTGTAATACAGATTTGCAGATTACAAAACCACTGTGAACATCTAGTTTGATCTGCACAAAACAGAATATAAGCTTCTTGTTAAACTAAAGGACGTAATTTTGGCAAAATGTTCTTTGTTGAACTACTCAGTGAGGACTGATGAAAACTGATGGTGCATTTAATTAATCTCATTAATAGCAATTTAAAATAAGACTTTTAATCTAAATCTGTCTAGCATCAACTTTCAGCTGCTCATTCTTTAAAATTGTACTGTAAACTATTTTAGAATGTGTACTTATAGAATGTGATTTAACGTGCCAAACAGATTTTCTGTCTCAAATCTTTCATTGTAATGAAAGTGTTTTAATCACTCTCACTGCACTTCATGGGACCTTCCTTTTCTTTTTTTCTTTTTTTTTTTTCATTTTAAATCTCTGATTTATGAATATTGTATTTTGTTCCAGAAGTTGTTGCGTTAGTGCCAAAACCAGATAAAGCAGACTCTCATGTACTCTTGCTTAATCTTTCCTGTTGTTAAATCTAAGGATTATATTAACGCTTCTGATCAACAGCAGACTGAGAGCTCATGCTCAGTTACCTCTCCTGATCCTGATCTACCAGCCTTTTCCAGTTCCCATCCTGCATGGTCAGGCTCTACCAACTGCCTTTCAGTGTTTGAGCTTATGTTTTGCTGTACTGCAGATGATAATTAAATTTCATCTTTGCTATCTGGTGATTTGGATCAGTTTGTACTGGTTATCTGCTGGCTTCATTCTTTATCAGGTTCCTAGCTTCTCTGTCTTTTGCAAACTTTATGGGCAACACATTTATGTTCCCTTCCATGTCACTGCTAAGCATGTTAATAAAGCAGTGCAGCAGAATTAACCCAAGAACAGTCTCATCAGAATACCAAATTACTGACGTTTTCCAATTACTATTTGATAAACACCGGTCAGTCTTTTAAAATGATTTTAATGTAACATTTAGCCTTTGCATTACACTGGCTTTCTTGTCAGAATAAATAACTGAAAAGCAAATCAAATGATCTTCCTGATTGAAGGCATCATTCCTCTGCTTTTGAAGGTGTCAATCTTGTCTCACAAGGTCTCTTACAATACATGTTGGTTGGAAATTCTTTTACCTTTCATTTTGAAATTATTTATTAATGAAATCTGGTGCAACTCAACTGTTTTGCTTCAGCTCAGGGCTTGACTAACAGGATCCCTTAATTGAGTCACTCTGTTTATCCTATCTTAATAATGAGACGCTGGCTTTTTTTGTTGTTGTTTTTTTCAGGAGTACCAAAAATGATTCAGAGAAGCAATGCTTATTAATAAATAACAATATCACAATTATCTAGATCTCCTAATTTGCTGCAGGTTAACTTTGGCATCTACAACTAGCACATTCTTGAGTTTCTCTTGGCCAGAAACAGTTTCATAATCATTACAAGTTCTGAATTTGACAACTTTTTTTCCTTAACAGGGTATAGAAATTCTTTAGTCTTTTCTCCATCTCAGCTGATAATTCCATTATTTCTAAACAACAATGACATTCAGATCCAAAGTAATCTGAATTATAGTATTAATTTTTTTTCCTCCATTTTCTGACAAGGAAAAATGCTCAGTTTTTCATATCACATTAAAATCCAAGTCTGGTTGGAAGCAGTTCATATTTTGGCACAAAACTGCCTGTTTTCAGAGCTATGTTCAACACAGAGAGGAAAATCAAAATTGGAGAATGTCTGGACTGGGTCAGCCAGCCAGCAGGGCTGCATCCCACCTCCAAGAGTAATTCAAAGCACCTTTAGAGAATGAGATCAGAGCAAGTATGTACAGGGATACTTCCCAAGTACCCTCCAGTCTCCAATGACTTGTTGCTCATAAACTTTCCAAGCTCTAGAGGTAGTATCTTTGTACTAACTACTCTCAATGGACTTTTCTTTAAATCACTCTGTTGTCTCTGGAGCTCACAAAGGCTTCTGGCAGCATTTTGCTGATGATGTTCTTTGGCCTGAAGCTCTAAAAATGCAACATATGCTGGCTGAACCTGAAAATACTGTATCATGTTAATAGAATGCCAAACAATTTGTCATTACAACTGGCTTGCAAAATTACCTTTATTTAAGAACACAGCTCCTGTGTTGATACAATTTACATTAAAATGTCCTATGAGAGTAAATGCAAGTTATACAACTCCTGACAACTGTCATCATTTCATTTCTCTGGCACGTGAAGAAGTGATGGAAAAAAATTCTTAAACTTCATTTTTTTTACAAGATTTTTGGAAGAAGCTACAGGATATACAGTAACTTTTACATCGTGACAAGAGCCTAGCTGTGCAACTTCTAGTACTGCCAATTATCCACTAAGATACATCAAATATTGTTTTGAAGAAAAAACAAGGAAAGATATTTATATTTGCAAATATGTATCTCAAGTAATTACACACTAATATAATTTTAGGCATAAACAATACCCTTGTACTTATGGATGCATTTGAGATTTATATTTCAAAACTTGTCTGTATCTGGTTATATCAACTGTCCCTTCCCAGTTTTAAGGACTGGAATGTGTGCACCTCATTTCACTTTTCTACAGACAATTCTAGCTAGCAGACTGTATCCACACAAATATTTGACCAAAGACTGAGCTTTTCCTGTCCTTAGGCTGCAAAGCTCAGCAGTAAGAGGTAAAAGAGTGGTAAAGGTGAAAAGCTCTCTTGTACTCACCGAGCTGTTTACTACTTCTTTTTCCATGGCTGAATGTGACTCCTTATTAGCTGGATTCTTTGGTGCAGCAAATTCTGGTTTCTTAATTTTTGTGTCAGGTTTGTTTTCTTTGGCATCTGGCTTACCCCCAGATCTAGCAGGGCTTGGCTTCTGTGACTGTGGTAACCGTGCAACTGTTGATGGTGATGGGTTGATATATTCATCATCTTCTTCCCCAAGCTCCCGTGGAAGCATTGGTGGATTCATTTTTACATAATAACCATGGTAATGACCATGCAGCTCCCCATTCTCTGTGCTGACAGGATTGTGACGGGCTGAAAGCTTTGACTGGTGTTTCTCAGCCATTTCTTCCTTTAGTGGTGGTTTTGAATATAAAGGCTTGTTAATCATGGGTGTTATGTTCTCCGTGGCTAAAAGCCTTTTTTCTTGATTGAGTTTTGCCCCAGAAGCGGAGTTTTGCTTTTTCAGATGTTTTGAAGGAGAAGGCTCAGAAGGAAGTGGAGGGCTCTGCCTCGGACTTGCTTCTGGGGTTCGAGGTGGTGTAGTACCTTTTCGATAAAAGTGAGGTGACTCTTTTGGGCTAGGAGGTTTTTCCTGAACTTTGTCTTCAGATTTTTCTTTTACTTCCATTCCTTCTTGAAATTTTTGCTTGATATAATCAGGGCCTGGAAAATAGTGTAAGAAAAATATTACAGTTAAAACAAAAATAAGACTTCACAGTAAAAGTATTGCACTGGGATGTCACACTGGATGGCCTTGCTAAATTACTGGGGCTAAGGGAGTGTTATCCAAAAATTCACTGACTTCTGTAGTGATTTACCCTGACTGACTCACTAGCTGAAGCTACTGTACTTCTGATAATTGTTGGAAATCCTTACTGATTCAGTTCAAAGATCTTACATCTTCAGGTTTGCAAATGGCCATAGGATAAAAATAATCTTCATGAAGTCCAAGGGACAAAAGACTGATTTACCTTACACCTCTTTCTCTCTTTCTTTTTCTTTTCTTTTCTTTTCTTTTTTATTTTATTTATTTATTTATTTATTTTTCCTGAGAACTATGCTTTCCTTAATTACCTTCATCTATTTAACTTACACCCTTACAATGATAGCATTTTTCTGACATGGAAGTATCCAGCATTCAGCATTAAATCTGTCTTCTACCCTTACAACCCACAGGAAATAGGGCTTGAATGCTTGAATCCCTTATTTTTCCATTTGTGTGCATGTCAGCTTGTCTTATACACTTATGTATGTGCCTTAAACTCACACAAGCTGGCTTTGTCTTCTTGAACAAATCACTTAAAATATGAAAACCCAAGTTAACACCTCTAGAGGATAATACAGTTCTGCTTAGAAGCTAGGAAGACAAATTCTCTCACATTCAGTAGGGAAATACTTATAGAACAGCTGGTATGAAAGGATATTCTCCCAAATCCTACCAAAATACCCATGAGCACATTTATCACTAGACTCAGTGATCAAGGTGCATTTTTATGCTGTTGTTCACATAAAGGTAAGCAGGCTGAGATGCTTTGCTCCAGGTCTGTCTGATTCAATAGAAATAAAATTGTTGTAAATCTGTCTGTATAGTGGGCCATATAGAGGCCCCATACCAGATTCCAGGATCAAATCCTGACTGAAGTCAGATGCTGGGGAACTCTATTAAGAAAGAACTACAACAACCTTTCTGTATCTTCAGGATGGCTTCTGCAAAACACAGTGCAACTATTTTTCTGCTTCTATCTTTGCCATTATGTCTACTTTTCTCTGATTTCTTTATCTTCTGTAAGTAAGGCTTGTTTGTTTTTCATGTCAAAGAAATTCTGTGTCCAGGGAAGAATGTCTGCACACATTTGCTTCCTTTGAATTTCTAGGAGACTCTAGCTGTGCTCGGCAGATACAGTGTTTTTACAGATGCCAGAATACATGCATCACTACATAGAGCTGAGATGAGAGGAAGGAACAAAGAGTAGCATGAAGTTTTCGGAAGTTATGAATCATCTGGTAAGGAAGCAAGCGCTGCTGAGAATGAGAATTACTTGGCAAGTAGTTGCTTTTGAGCAGGAGAATCACAAGGATTTCAGTATCTTTGAAAACCAGGGGTGAAAATAGGGAGTTGTGGAAAGAGACAAGTCAGGATTTGTTCTCAAACGATGTTTGAGGGGACTCTTTGGTAAGCCTGCATTCTGTAGCCTTCTGATAAAAGAGAAAGGCAGAAGAACATAAAAGTCACCATATATCAAGTCAGTTACAGTCGCAATTCACAAATTTTCCATCTTTGCAGAGATGTATAAGGTAATGCTGAGGTTTTTAACATACACAAACTTCAGTTTTCTTCTCTTTTGCAGGAGATAAAACTAGAGGTATAAAGAAGAAAGGGTACTTAGAAGAGCTCTGCCTAACATTTAAGCCCATGCCACGGAACTGTTAATTTTTAATAACTATTTATTACAGACATCTACACCTATGTTCATGTTACATTCCTCCCTCTGGCTGGATGAGAGCATCCCAATCTAGAACACTCTTGTTTCAGCATTATAGTGTTACTCAAGCAGCACCCGAACTGATCTTGCCTGTACCCCCTGTAGCACACTGCTGCATCTCTGCTTCTGACCTACCCAGAAAATTCACATCCTGCCACAGCTCTCCACTACCAAACATATGTAAAGATGTGATATCTGTCAATATATCACAGTGCTTGGACTGAAGGTATTTTGATCAGAAACACACCTGAGTCACACAAATGTCAGTCTTCTCCATTGTTTCCTATGATCTATAAAAACCTTCCAAAGTTGGACATTTTCCTCCTGTGACCTCCAGACTATACTGGAATTTCTGAAACAAGTAGGGAACCAGGTACTGGCTGTCCATGTCTCCATGCAGAAGGAAAACCAAAAAACAAAGAGGCTAAAAGTGATATATTTTTACTGGGTATATGGCAATATTTGATGCTAAAAACACTGAGCTCAACTAAATGAGGCTGTAGCCTCTGTATCAAAGTTAAGCCTGAGAGAGTCTGATCAGACACTGAAGAATTGCTTCAGTTTAATGCAGCAACCATCCTCCCGCCCCCAAACCTTCAACACATCACATATGGCTATCAGAGATATATCTCTTGCCTCCAGTCCTGCCAGGCATATCTTTCTGTTACTTACATTCTTGGCTCTGTTCTGATGTTAGCTTTGGAGACTGGCCAAGGACTCCTTTTTTAAAATCTGTTCATTGTATTCAGTACAATCAGATTATGCACCTGTCTGAACCATTGACTCCAAGCAGAAAGAACAGTTTCCATTCTTTTCTGAGGGCTAAGAATGCTTGTCAGGATTTAGCAAGCCTCCATGGTTAAAAGCATTATCTAACAATAGAGACATGGACAACAGAATCCTCCTTTTTCTTCTGCATAAGTGCACTCTACAGCACAAGTCTAAAGGAGCCAGGGCCAATGGAGTTTGGAAAGGGAGTCATTAATTCTTGATCCAACAAGGTGGCTCAGCTGCTTGTTCCCTAAAAGAATAGGATTTGAGGCTGAGAAGAAGTTAGGGTTTATCTACTTAGCAAATAAACATGGAGTTATGCTTTTCAGTTTCTAGTTCAAGCAACCAGTAGATATATTCCTATGATATTTCTGTATACCTAAGAACTGGTCTGGAAAGCAGATCCAGTAAGTTTTTTCTAACCAAGTAAAGATAAGCTTTCTTTGTAGAAGAACCTGTCTATTTTCCCACGGTGATTTGCAGGTTCTGCTACTGCCTTCTTAAAACTGACAGACTTTTGCTGCTCAGTGTTAGTTATTAGGCAGCTTTTGGGTCACACAGCTGTGATTCAAGTTGAATGGCACTGCTGAAGTGAGAGTTAGACAGAAGATTAGGGAAATAGCTTCTGAAAACCCAACGACTGTGATTATGTGTGATATATGTATGTGAAGGTGGAAGCTGCTCTGCTTGAATAGCACTTCACAGAATCATAGAATATCCCAAGTTGGGAATGACCCACAAGGATCATTGAGTCCAAATTCTCGACAACTCAAAATTCAAACCCTATGTCTGAGAGCGTTGCCCAAATGCTCCTTGAACTCTGAGAGGTTTGGTGCCATGACCTCTGCCCTGGGCAGCCTGTTCCAGTGCCCAACCACCCTGTGGTGAAGAACCTTTCCCTGACATTCACCTGAACCTCCCCTTACACAGCTCCATGCCATTTCCTCAAGTACTGCTGCTGCCATCAGAGAGCAGAGATCAGCTCAGTCCCTCTGTTCCCCTTGTGAGAAAGCTGTGCACTACAATGGGGTTTGACCTTCGGCCTTCCCTAAGTTGAACAAATGTAATTTACTGCAGTAGGTGAGTTGGGCTTCGGTTTGGTTGCAGACATGCTAATTGTTCTTCTAACACTAGAATTTCTTGTGGAGTTCTTGTGTAACACGTCCTTCCTCCTGGAAGGTCTCCAGTAATGATGTGACAGCATGGCATGCCCTGAAAATGAGAAGAGAAGGGTGGCCTAGTTCTGCCACAGCATTTTTAGAGAGGTGACAGCCACATGCTTTCCCCCATAGCCTAGTGAGGTATACATATTGGCAGCAGGGCACTGTTTCAGGACTGGGCTCAAGCAATGTCTAAAATTGTCATCTTGCAGGATGGTGCAAATGCAGTGTTTCCCAAGAAGGCTAAGAGACCTTGTGTCTTATCAGACTGGAATGAAATCTCAAGCTCAAGAAGGATTGCAGAATGTACCTTGGATAGTGAGAAAAAACATGTGGATATATATTCTTATATTTCAGCTACAAGCTGTGCTCTTGCCTATTCAATGTAGGTAGTTCCAACTGATTTTGGCCCGTGTGAAATAGAAGAGATGGGGATACAGGAAAAGGTTGGAACTGAGGGAGAGGATGAATTCCGGAGGTGGTGCAAGTACCAGGATTCCTTACAGTAGGCTGATGATCCTTCAGGGAATATTTCTGAATTTCAGTCGTTATGTATAACACAGTAATCTGCCAGAAATCTAATTTCCATAATTCAACATGCTTTTGCCTCACTTCAGTATGATCTATATCCTCAAAATTATTAAAGTAATATTTTTTTTATTTGTCAAAACAGGTCTATATCGTAACATATCAGCCATTTTGGTGTTTTGTCGCAAGACTGCCACAATGCATTTTCAAGTGACCAAAGAACATCTACTTTATTTTCTATTACCAAAAATAAATAAGTTCTTTACCATTATACAGAATTAACATGTACTAGAATACTGAATTAAAACAGTATTAGGTAAACTAAAATATACTATATTCTAGCACATTTTAATTCAACGTAGCACTAAATTCTCTGAGAATTAATATGTTGCATCCTAGTCTTTTGCAGCTTTTCATGTACTCCAGTATAAAAAGGGACTCAGGCAGCAGACATACAGATTTGAAAGCTTTTCCTTGAACCCAATTACTTAGGATAGAATTCTGTTGATATCAATAAATAATCCCCACAGGAAGCCTTTTCACGGTGCCAGATATGCTCCTTCAGGGAGAGAATGTTGTGCAAAACTTCACTAGGACATAAGGTCTCATTCTGGGGGGAGCAGTTTTTTCTTAGCTATGTTTAAGACACTAAGCAATACAAACGAGAGCCTCTCACCATAACAGGGCAGTGGACGCCTAGTCTGCAGTCCAGGACTACGTG